ATGCACCAAGAGCTTGTAACACTCCAAAGAGAAAGGAAAACTTGAAATCGCATCATATGACCCCTTTAATACTGCTTGCCCACTTTTGCCCAGGCCCGACCAAAAATCAATTTCTGCCTATGCCACTGCTTAGACTGCATGGAGGTTAAAACCAGTTAAACTCTGCGGACCCGGATACGGGTCCAAAATGACGTTAAAAATGTTTATGCTTCATTACATTAATACACAATACAACATAATACACTCTCTTATTTGACACTGCTGTAGATCGCTGAAGGCTCTTTCGCAGTTTCAACATTTGATCGCCTAAAAAAAACAAACAAACAGGACAACAATGATGTTACAGCTCAGATAAATGATCTGTGCTGGTGAAGTTTTTGTTTTCTCACCTCTCGGCAGCATCAGGCTGATGAACTCTTATATCATCATACTGACATTCATCGTCTTCCGGTCTCTTCGTGTCTTTCTTTCTGTGAAATTGGACAGTTGCGTACTGGATCTCAGTATCTCTGGATTCAGGAGTTTTTCCTCTGAATCTGCTGGGCTTCACACTGGCATACAGAGCATCATTGACTGTATCAGGTTCGTCATAAACTGAAACTCTCTGTGACACATCAGCATAAAGATCATTCTGAAAGACAAGAAAATACATCATTATTAATTAAGAGACGTAAATCAGTTTGATCTGAAGTGTAGATTCTCAGTACACAGAAGTTTGTCACAAACTTTTCAGATCAAGTGCCACATCAGATGAATTCAAATCAATGTTGTGATGTAAAATACTGAGATTCCTTTTCTTTACCTGTCTGACTGTGAGATCTTCAGTTTTAACACTCCTTTGTTTCCTCCTGTGATAATATCATTGGCAGCATATGGAGAACTATATTCAATTCATGCAAAATATGAATGCTGTTTTTTTAAGATTACTAATATAATCAAATATAAATGCTTAATTATACATAATTGCCTGCTTCATTAAACCAAAAGTGAACAAATACAATCACAGCTGTTTTTTTTTCTATTGAACTCACATTATAAACCATATGATTATGATGATGATGATGATGATGATGAATAATCCTCCAGATGTTGCTGCGATCACAATCACATTCCTATCAGCACCAGGGTGAACTGAAAGATGAAGATCATCATAATTAAACTGATGATTGATGTGAAGATACAGGAGTGTGTTAATAAAAGCTTCACCTGTGACAGTAACAGCGTCTGATCTCTGAGATCCATGTTGATTGTGAGCCTCACAGTAGAAGCGTCCACTCTGTAGTGCACTGAAACTCTGTCCAGATCCAACAGCTGAGCTTTGATTCTCCTTAAACCAGCTGAAGTTCAGAGCAGGAGGGTTTGAATCACTGCTGCAGCTCAGAGTCACTGAATCTCCCTCCACTATTTCACCAGATCCAGTTATGGACACTGAGACATTCTTTGGAGGATCTAATGACAATCACCAAATTGATTATACACATTTTTAAAATTGCTAATAAGAGCTTAAAAGATGAGAAAAAAACAGAGAATAAGCATCTTTTGTTTTATGTTTTATCCGTTAGAGGGTCAAGTTCTTTTTTTTTTTTTTTTTAAGAAATAAAAAGAAAACAAGTCCATTGAATAGAAGTAGATTAGAGGGTGCTAGCATTAGAGGGTCAAGTGTAGATGGAAGAGTTGTGTCTTTAGGGTAAAAGTCTGTGAAAGTTATAAATAAAACGTTTTTAAAAAGAACAAATTAATCTGTACTCACAGGTGACATTGAGATGAGCAGCAGGAGAGATGTAACTGTGTCCATGTAGAGCACAGCTGTATCTGCCTGCATCCTCTCTTCTGACTGACTGCAGCAGGAGTTGATTGTTTCCGTCTCTTCTCTCAGTTAATGGCTGTGAGTTTCTGTACCAGATGAATGTTGCTCTGTCAGTCAGAGTGCAGCTGCTTTTACATGTCAGACTGACATTATGAGGGTTTGAATCACTGCTGCAGCTCAGAGTCACTGAATCGCCCTCCACTATTTCACCGGATCCATTTATGGACACTGAGACGTTCTTTGGTGCATCTAGAGAGGACACAAATTAAATGTGTAGTTCCAAAATGTTACATTTACATTCAGTTATTTAGCAGACGGTTTTATCCGTTAGAGGGTCAAGTTCTTTTTTTTTTTTTTTTTAAGAAATAAAAAGAAAACAAGTCCATTGAATAGAAGTAGATTAGAGAGTGCTAGCATTAGAGGGTCAAGTGTAGATGGAAGAGTTGTGTCTTTAGGGTAAAAGTCTGTGAAAGTTATAAATAAAACGTTTTTAAAAAGATCAAATGAATCTGTACTCACAGGTGACATTGAGATGAGCAGCAGGAGAGATGTAACTGTGTCCATGTAGAGCACAGCTGTATCTGCCTGCATCCTCTCTTCTGACTGACTGCAGCAGGAGTTGATTGTTTCCGTCTCTTCTCTCAGTTAATGGCTGTGAGTTTCTGTACCAGATGAATGTTGCTCTGTCAGTCAGAGTGCAGCTGCTTTTACATGTCAGACTGACATTATGACCCTCTGTCACTCTCTCAGGAGCCTCCACCTGAAGATCTGAACACAACACACACATTATATCTAGTGCTGCTGTCATACACTGATTATTATTCAACATAATGCACAGAAGAAGAGCTCAGCCTCATGAAAGTCACCTGTGACAGTAAGAGTCACTCCTGGATAACCAAGCCATTTCACATCAGGGTTATCAGTGATGAATCTGAAACAGTACATGTGTTCATCCTTCTGTGTTACATGACTCAGTCTGATGGTGCAGTTCTGCTGTTTGTCTCCCAGATACTGAAGCCTCTGACTGTATTCAGGATCCTCAGACAGATCTGGAAACTCTTCACCCTTTACAGGGTTTTTGGTCCAGAACACTTTCATGATCTGATATTCAGTAGGGTATGTATAAGTGCAGCTCATTATCACTGATGAGCTCTTTAGTGCACAGATGTGTGAATGTCTGTAACTCACACCCCAACCAGCACCAGAAACCCCTGAAACACAGAATTCATCAGGATGAAAACGATGGTTTATCAGTTACACTGGGCCATAACATGATAATGCTTTTTGCTACTTAAAAACAGTGACTTATTACAGGGAATATTATAAGCTCATCTTCTCAGAATATATGAATTGTTATTAATGATCTGAGTGTGAATGACTTCAGCTTTGATGGAGGATGTTACAGAAATAAACAAATAGAGACAGAAGTGAAACCAGAGCAAAGAAATCAGCCAAGAACAACATGCTGTGCTATAAAACAATGAACATATTTTTTTTCTTTTAAATGAGAAAAAGAAAATAATCAAAGCTGATTTTATTAAAGACCCAGTGACATTAAAATGTGAGTTTTGTGCCTTTAGTTGAACTAAACACTTTCTTCTGAGAAAATGGCCAACAATATTCATGATCCGATCAGCTTAACTTCCTGTTTCAAAAGGAAGTACATCAACATAAAGCACAGAAAACTGCTAATTTTTAAAAACTGCTCATTATGGGATTTTTGCAAATAAAATTAAATATATTTCTAATGTGAATGTAACAGAGACTCACCGTGAATCATGAGCAGAAAGATCAGAGGAAGACGAGGAGCCATTCTGACCGACATCAGCATCAAATATATCTATAATACAGCATTAATCAGCACCTATACACTCATCAACAGTACATGTATATCACCCTATTCCTAACAATTCTCATGTTAAGACATGTACACTGTAAAAAAAAACTGTGACATTTATGGTAAAATACCAGCAGTTGTGGTTGCCAGAACTTCACCGTAAAAAAACAAAAACGTGGTGGTGATGAGAAAGTCACATGATGAACCAAAACTCATCACAAAAACAGCTTTTCTACGAGCTGAGAAGGACAATATATAAAAAATATAGAAGGTGCACAGTGTCACTCACACAAACACTAAACCCCATCATGGTGACACACGATACTGAAATAATGCAATAAACATTAATTTAACAACATTAGATGTAAGATTAAACTGCTAATTTTTAAAAACTGCTCATTATGGGATTTTTGCAAATAAAATTAAATATATTTCTAATGTGAATGTAACAGAGACTCACCGTGAATCATGAGCAGAAAGATCAGAGGAAGACGAGGAGCCATTCTGACCGTCATCAGCATCAAATATATCTATAATACAGCATTCATCAGCACTTATACACTCATCAACAGTACATGTACATCACCATAAACAGCTCTTAGTGTTAGTAAGATCTATTCACATCTGAAGATTATTAATGCACAGCATCAGTGTGTGTAAATGAACTGATCATTGAGATGAACAGAAGACATTTCTCATGTCAGCAATCATGTGTTTTATGAGCTTCATCTATAGAAATAATCATCAGTTTTCATTAACGTACGAGTGTGTTTGTCTTACTGTGTTGAAGCTCATCAGATCAGCAGCAGCTAAATGACTGATTCTTTTAACACATGCACTTATATCTGTAGCTTTACTGGCTTTGTGTGGTTAACACTGTTTTAATGTCCAACAGCGGAAATAGCTGAAGGTCCCTCCATCAACAGGAACATAACATCACTGAACTCAAACTAACTAAACATCACAAGAAAATAACAATTTAAGTTAATTTGAGCACATTTCCAAAAGGTGTTTAAAGAAAAGGACTGTAATCAGACTTTAGTTTTAATATAAGCTAGTGTTTTTGTCCATTACATTTATATTCTCTGAAAACGAATCGCCGATTAAACAACTCAAAGCCATCCTAAGTAAAAAGCCATATTTACAATAAAATAAATCAAACAGAATTCATTCTTTTTCACATTCTACTCATTCAAATCTATTTTGGATACATATTTGGTTAAACATTTATTTTTATTTCACTTTTCTTTTATTTGCTGAAGCCCAGACGAGTTTTTATTACTTCATGAATATCCGAGGAGGCTGACAGCATAAACTCCTCCCATTACGAAACTGACCAATCAGAACTGATATTCAAATGACGTAACGTCCTTTGTGCCTGAAGCAGCAAACACATTCAAATAGGTGGGTGCGCAAGATGG